CATGTTCGTAGTGCCTCATCAGTTCAGTCAATGGAAGCTTGCTCTCTTGCGGGACGTAATGGTCTAGCATCCTACAGAAGCTACGTCTACGGCATTCGGTGCGTAGCAAGCGTAGCCCGGCTGTTTTTGCACTACGCCACGGCGCTGCTCGTTTTTCGAATACTCGGCGAATATTCTTTCCCCAGCTTTCTCTAGCACTTCGAAGTAATGTAGCCAGAAGACATGAAACCCAGCATCGTTGAGGTAGAAGGAGCTTGCGGTCACCCACCGTTTGGCACTTCCCCAAAAGCTGCTTTGAGAAAGATTTTTTGCTCCTTGGTCTCTGATATTGCGCTTTACGTGCCCAAGGCTTCTGACCAGGAGGAAGTCAGGCCCGAAGAAATCTTCGAAACCTCGAACGAGCCCCAGGCCACCGTCCGCATGCGCCAAAGTAGCGGTATGTAGACCCTCGCACATATGCTACAACATCATCCTGCATGTGCTCCGCAGCCCCACAAGGCGATCATTTTGATCCCGCTATTGCTTATGGAATACGTTCCGTCGCACGCAACTGCTTCAAGCCGTCCCAATTTGCAAGGAGTCGCCCAATCTAAAAATCCGTTGACAAACACATGATGCCAGCATCTTTGTCCATATCGAGAATACGGTATCCCGAACTGTTGCGTCTTTCTTCGTCTTTTAATGCCTCTGCACTATAAATTCCAGAACCTGCGGGACCTTGTCCTCCATCTGCTAGGGTTAGATGTAGCTTTTGCGCGTCTGCACCTGATCGCGCCGAGGCAAGTCTTTGCCGGGGTTGGCCATGGAAACTTGCACAAGCGCAGCTGCAGCATTCTCGGCTTGTGCTGCTGTGGCCCTGATGTCTGCACGCTTGTCAGGCTTCAGCTCATGCTCGTTCTTGGCTTCCCGGATGAGAGTAGCAGCATTCGTATCGACGCGGTATTGCACCATCATCTTACAACCATATTGACAATAACAATAAATATATGTGCGATTATTTTCTCGCCTCAGCTTCCGTGCTCGGGCGTCCCATTCAGTGCTTATCCCATCCGCCAGGCGGCGCTCTCTCAGGGGCTCTGGCCTGCCACGCCAAAGACCCCCGAACTTGTCCTGTCTTTTATACTCCTCTGTCGTGGCCACGACGTCTTGTGGACCTGGAGCATCGTCCAGGTCTACTGCCAAGCTGCTAGACATGCCCAGCCTCTTCGACCTCATGTCTCTAGTAAAAAGCACGCCAACAGCAGTCGGCGTAGCGTACTCTTTCTATTAATGTGCCTGCTGTGCCTGCTCTGCTCCTTTTCTGATTGCTGTTTTGCCTTGCCCTGGGAGAAGCGCAGCGCGGGCCGCAAAAACATGAAAAGGCCGTGCCATGTGCAAACAAGAAAAAGAAAATCAAGCGACAAACCATGGCAAAACTCGTGCAAAACGAAAAGCAACCGTTTAAGGTACAGGGTTATGAGTTTACGGCTTTCGGAAAAAATGATTTACGTGTACACGGAGCCCCGCAAGGCTTCATCGAACTGTATACGGAAACCAATTGTACAAGCAGCACCCGACACGACGCTGCGTGGCAGGGCAGCTAAATCGAGTAACACACTTCTTTGGATCTTTCATTTTTCTTTCGCGATGGACTACGGATGGGTTTTGAAGCGACAAAGCATACGATTGTACATAGAGCTTTGACATGAAACATATGCTCCGTAATTTCGTTGAGTCCGTCCATACATCCTAAACCCGGAAGCAGAAAGAGCACGGAGTCGCCGTAGTTGAGCATGTTGGGGCGCCGCCAGCTGATGCCCCTGCGTGGCAGTAGCGTTCGGTGCAGCAAGGCTGCGTCTCAAGAGGAACCCTATACTCCAGCGAGAGAACAAAGGCAGCATCGACCCCGGCGATGCGTCATGCGGCAACAAGTTCAGCCTAGCCGGTACCCTGTAGAAGTTTACAAACTTTTGGGAATCATTCGCGCGTAGCCGCATAGTGGCAGCGTCGACGGCGTCCTTCGTTTCGTATGGTCCCTGATGCTTCAGGAGGAAACTACGACCACCAGACTGCGAATCCTTGTTTCATGGAAGCACATATATACACAGAGCTCATTTCGCTCACAAACGAGCATTCGTATATGTGTCAACCGCAACATGCATATAAAAGCTCAGGGAAACTCCCCGGGTTTCGAAATGCGACCCAACGTATATGCGACGTGAAGATATAGCACACACGTGTGTACACAGACATGATAGCGCTTGCCAGTTCGCTGCCTCTCAGCAGGAGCCGCACGTTTATGAAACGACATCTCAAGGGAACTCCCGGGCGCTACAAGCGATCCAAGCAATAATTTTGTCCAATTTCGCCTGTATGCCGCACAAACACACACGCACACACACACACACACATGTGCACGCCGCCTTGATACATTACATACTGGAGGGTGCACGACCAGAAACCCATTCGCCAATGCGCTGGCGTTCCCGATGCTGAGAGCTCGCAATGACGACACCGGCGCAACTTCCACGAAGCAGCTCACGGAAAGTCGCGGGGCAGTCTATGTTCGGCCAACACATGTGCACGCCGCGGCATTGAAGCAGAACACACGGGGGACAGGGGTGGGCACAAGCACAAAGGGTAGTACAATCGCGCGGTGTGGCTAGGAATTTAATCCAGCGGCAGTACTACAACATCGTACGGCGGTACTACAGTGTGTGGTGCTACGACAGCGCGCGGAGTGCGTACTGTTTAACGTCACGGGCCAGTACTACAAGGTCGCGCAGCCGAAGTACAGTCGCGCGGCGGTATTGAAGTCGCAATGTATGGCTATTACGATCGCGCGATCACTCGGCGCCGGTATTGCCGTTGCAAAGCGTTGCTATTACGATCGCGCGCTCACGCGGCGGTAGTAGAAGTCACACGGCCTCGGTATTACGATTACACTGCGGTAGTACAGTCACGCGGTGGTACTACCATGCGCGCCATGCGGGGCGGTCCCACCACAACATCGCGGTGTGGTGTTGATATTTTGGCCCCGCGCGTAGAAGCACTCATGTGTTTGCCGGTCAGCTGGCATACACGTATAAAACTCCTTTCGAAGGGAAGCGACAGGACTTAAAAAAAGTAGTTCACGGAAACTCGCGGGTTTCAAGAAGTGCTGCAACCAAGAATTGGGTTGATTTTGGTCAAAAACATAGAGAAGTCCTCCTCCCAAAGAGTATACCGGAAAATCATCATTTTCAATATTTTTGCTTATTCTGAATATCTTAAACCCCAAAAATACGAAAAGAACGGAGGGCGCGACTTCGGTATTTCAGCATTAGAAAACTTATTTTAAAAAATTGGCGAGAGTTCTATTTATGTAGAGCGCGCCTCCACGGCCATTGCTGGAGCACATGCACACAACCTCCGCCTGCATGGTAATTGACGTGCCCGGCTCGGCCGCCTACCCGCTCTAGTAACAGGTCGGTCTAACGGGACACGGGGGGAAGCCATCGTGCATGTTTTGCTCCAGCAACAGACTGGGAAATCCCTCGGGAATTTAACCTCCACCCGAGATCGAGGGCCACGAGTTAACGTCCCGGGGCGTCGGAACCACTAGCTTAAGTCCAAATTCGAAGATGAAAATCAATTAGTTTGCCCATCTCAACAAAATGATATAAGGAAAAGAAGCAAAATTTAGGAAACTTAGATATCATTCTTTATAATGAATAAAAAATAAATTCAAATTAATAGAAAATTACCTTTTGGGCGGCGGTAGCGCTCTTTTATCGTCAATAATATTTTCAACGAAATCTTTTCAAAAATAATTTAAGAAATAATTTCTAAAAAAAGTCTCCATATAATAGAGTAAATCATAATATAATATTTCGATATCAATTTGCTAGGTCCAAATATTTTATGAAAATAATCGATATATTATGATCTCGTATCTTCCTTTTTCAATCATCGTATATTTTCTTTAAAATCTATAATCTTCGATATTTTTCAATCTTTAAGAAGAAGAAGAAGAATTCTATCATATTTTCAAAAATATAGATAATAATCAATATCAAATTATTCAAAGAGAATTCATCATGAAATCAAAATTCAATTTCTTCAATCAAAATATATAAATTTATATAAATATTTTTTTCGTAAAATCTTTTTAATTCATAATTATCTTGCATCTTAATCTTATTATGATTCGTAAACCTAATTTCTTTTATTTTTCTTGTTCTTCTCTATTGTTCAAAAACAATCAAGATTCATGCGTATATATATATATATTAGATATTGTTCCCATTCTTGTCTTATCACCATTTTTTAATTAAAGAATTATTCATATTTCATAATCCGCGCGAATCTAAATTAGAATAGAAAGGACTAAGAGAATATTGATAGAACTATTCATAAATATATATATATATATACATGTCGTTTTTCCCAAATATATATTTAAGGATAATTAATTTATTGAATAATCTCGTTTAGATTGATATGATGTTCGAAAATACAGGTATTTCGAAATTGAAGGAGATTTCGCAACGAGCCTGGTAGTAAGCATGCCTGCCCAGCTCCAGGGGGGCTTGGAATTACTTGCTGCTGCTGTCTCTCGGAGGCCATGTTGGCGCTAGTCAACATCTCATGGCAGACTAGTGCATATCTATCTTCGAACACGCCTAAGTAATGTTACCTATAAGCTCGATCTTCTCGAACTTGATTCCTGAAATTCAGAATCCCGCCGCCCGATGTCGTCCTAAAAGATGCGACCCTGCCTTTCGAGCTAGCAGCTAGCAGCCGAGCCCGTTTGGACAATCTCGACGTCTGAAGAATATCGAAACCTGTTCTAAAACTCTTTTTGCAACAGGCTTTCCTAAACCCTATACGCTAAAACCTTAGATACCCTACACCGCAAGGCATGAGATGCTAAACGAAACAACCTGAAGACCTGGGTAAAAAAACCCTTAACCAAACCCTAAACACCCATGTAGTAAGAACCTTTCAAAAAGTTGGCGGCAGGTCTGACAGCTTTTTCATCATTTGGGCTCGGGGGGTCGATCGACTGGGTCGATACGGCGCCGCCGCTTCTTCGGAGGTGGCGGCGGAGGCTCCGCCTGAGGAGTTTAAATTGCTGTTGGGATTTAGGGTTGAGTACTTAAAGGAGCAGGGGACTTAGTAAGTAAGGTTATAAGTCCTTTAATTGGGGTTAGAAGTATAGTTACCTTAGTTATAACCCTACTTACTAAGCCCCATGAGCCTTTAAGTAGGGCTTACTAGGGTTTTTTGAGGGGTGATTAGGCATAGTAGTGTTTGATAGAGCTTACTCGGGTTCTCAAAAGGCTTGATTCCGGCTTCGGAGGTCTATGCCTGCATCGCATGGCCAGGAAGAAAGCCATCAACGTTTGGCTGAAGCATTGCTCCACGGCAAGCGACACATATTCAATACACTCCCATGCTTCTCAATATAGAAGGTCAGCAGCAGCAGCATGCTGCTCCGCTGCCGGTAGTTGCATTAGCTGAAACATGCCACGGTTCTTGACAGAGACGCTGCAATTCTCAGGAATATTCAAGGGGTTTGGGGTGCATCTGCAGTTTATGAGGCTTATTGGCCTTGTAGTCGGTCTTTGTGAAGGTGTACAAAGACGAGTAGGCTTTATCGAAGCTGTAGAACGGATTTCTGGTACTATACGGTATGTATAGCAGGCTTCTTCTTCCACCCCTTCGCGAAGCAATGTACCTTAATGAAAGCGACAGAGGGAGAGAGAGAGAGAGAGAGAGAGAGAGAGAGAGAAAGAGAGAGAGACAGAGGAACCCCTCATCTGAATGATGGTTCATGGTTCAATCTGATGAGGAGTAGTTGGAACTCCTGCCGGTTAAAGGGGGTAAACCCTCAAACCTATATCCGAAAATTGCCAACTGTAATCTTGGACACTGAACGTCCGAAACACCTACAGCGAAGCGAGTGTTGGAACATAGGTTTAGGAGGATTAGTGCTAGGATCCCTTATACTTTACCTTAAGGGCATGAGGATGTTGATGTTCAAACTTTCTGGCTTCTACGGTAAGCCGGCCCCCATGAAGGCATCCTCCTCCGGCTCCGGTGGTGGCGGCGGCTCCTCTTTCGGCTGGTTCAGGAGCTCCACCAGCTTCGCCTCAATTAGAAAAGGTTTAGGGTTTAGGGCTTAGGGTTTGGGGTTTAGGGTTTAGGGTTGGGGTTTAGGGTATAGGGGTTCTGGCGCTACCTCATACTGCACTATGGCTTTGATTACATACGGCTACTTTAATGATCAGAACTGCCGATGTTATCTTGTACTATTCTATAGCTATGGTGATATAGGGCCACCTAAATAATTAGTATAGACTTCTGATTGGTATCTTATACTACTCTGTGATTATACAGCGTATAGGACTATATGCGAATCGTAGTACGGTACTAACTATGCTATGGGCTTTGATTTTCGAGGGCTGAAAGGGATTCGGTTTAGGG